ATCTATTAATTGGTAAGAACAGTTTTTTTTTGGCATAAATTTTTGTATCGTACATATTGGATAAAGCAAAAAAAATTTTAATTAAGTATTGAAAGAGTTAACATTGCTGTAATAGTAACTCAATAATTTTTTTATATATTGATTATGCACTAATCATACTGAAATCAATAACTTAAAGAATTCGGCCAAATAAACTTCAGCAAATTTTTTTAGAGTGTCTCAGAATTTATAAAAACAGCCGTAAATTATTTAGGCTGCCGAAATTATTTTAGGTTGCCAAAAATATTTTAGGCTGCTGAAAATATTTAGGCTGCTGATATTATTTACAGTTTAGGCGCCTAAAATATTTTTAGCAATTTTTATTTATAGCAAGCCAAAAATAATTTAGGCACACATGTATAGTAATAACAATAGTGGAAGAAGTGATTCTACATCACCTCCAGTCATCATTATTGCAGGTGCTGGATTATCTTCATTCTTATTAGCGACAGTTGATAAGTTAGTATTCAGCGATATTATCTCCAAAGAAATCTCAATAAAATAAATCCAATGTACATACACTACTGCAATAATCTCTTTCATGTATCACTATTACTTTTGATTTTGATTGTTTTCGTTTGTTTATCTTTTGCTAAATTATGTGTAAAGTCTTAATAACGTTTTATATTATCACTTTTTAACATCATTTTTACTTTTTTTTTGATCATTGCCCAAATTAGAGAAAATAGGACTGCTATTTGGTTTATACTAATAACAAAATATATTACTTTGGTCACATAATATTTTGCATATTAAATAATCTATCCGATATCAACTTACATCGGATTTACTCAGTTTCCTTTTATTGGACTCCTGCTAAAAATTATATAGATGCTTTTTAATGTTAATTAACATCTCATCTCTTACACATTGGCATTAACTTACTTTCTCTTTATAACCCATGTCAGAAAATTTAGTTTTGACATTATAATTATTAGATATACTATTTTCGAGTCTCTTTGTAGAATATTCTCCTTTCTAAAGAAATCACAAGGAGTATTGTATTCATAATTAGAAGATATATATTTCAATTAAGTAGAAGGTTAAAAAATATTTTTTTTGTTAAATAAATTTAAGTTATAACCTTATCTGTATACTTCCGATTTTGTTTCTACAAGAAAACGTGACAGAGTAAGTTAATTTGCATTTCTAGTCAAAATATTAGATCAAAATCATTTATACCATCTTCTCCTCAACATTAGTAAGTGCCATATCAATGACTCTAGAAGATCTGCGTATGAACTTGCAAGCTACTTCCATCTATAAATTAAACGATTTTAGTAAAAGAAAAGTTATAAATGAAATATTTGGTAAGCAAGAAATCAAACCTCAGCATTATCAATCGACATTTCATTCTCAATTTGTTGCCAAAGTATGCGAACATCCTCAAATTTCATTCGATGTCTCTGATGCAGTTATAAAATAAATTAATATTGATTTATAGTATAAAGGAAACTATTACAATCATAAAATAGTGTAGACAGATCACAACAAAAAACCATCGTAAGGCAGATTGAACCCCCTGCCATAGTTGTGTGAGTATGTACCCCTTCTTAGGACTGCAAATGAGACTTCTACCTCCACAATAATTATGAAACATGATAGGAAATCACCATAAAGCGGGTTGAACCTCCATTATAGTCATGGAAGTATGTTATCCCTTCTTGGAACTTCAGTAGCAAGTCTCATATTTGTCTATACTTGTAAATCAAAGAGAGAAAATGGATACTTGCCTTAAAAGATTTTTGCAAATAGACTATGTTTTCTTTGACTTGAGGTGTTCCATTTTTCATCAGTAACTTCAAACAATGCCAGAGAATGCCAGACTCTTCTCTAAAAGATCAGGTAAAATTATCTTGCTTCTAGTGGTACCTGTAAAAGTCTAGAAACTAAAAATTTTCAGATGAAGTTTTTGTAAAATATTCTATGGTGAACATGTATCAATGCAGTTTAGAAATACACCAAATTTGGATATTGTCGATCACACCTTATTGGCGACGGACCCTTCTATACAAAGTGATACAAAAATTACCTTCCTGATATGCTTCAATTGTAAAAATCTTGACAAAATTTACTTTTTTGATATACTTGCATATATATATAATATAAATCTTATCAGAAGTAGAATTTGAAAATTTTTTGTCTATATTTGTACTTTAATGTTACCAACATATGCATACTAACGTGTTTATGTAATATAATAAACATCATATGATGGGCTCCACTAGGGCCACTGATTTTCTGCTGCTAAATTCTGCCTGCTTTACAAGCAAAAATTATCCAAATAATTTTCTTATTTATGCTGTAAATTCTGCGATTTTTTAAACCTACGCTATAAATTCTGCTTATTGTATAGGTTTATGTGACTTTTCATTTACTTATCAGTCAATTGATCAGGTAAATAAATTTTTTACTATAAAATTTGAGTGATCGACACTCATATAAAAAGTAAACTCAAAAGAGTTTTGCTCACAAAGATAGTCTTTTGTTTTATATTCTACAACACAGTATTGTGAAGTCAACCAGGGTGGCCCCTCAAAGTACGGATCAGTGGCGTAGTCACAGCCACAGCTAATAATTTACCAATCATATTGTGTTGTGAAATGATAATCAATATCAATTTTAAACGTTGAACCTCTCTTAATGAACATTTATACTACTAAAGAATATTGTATAGGCGTATTTAATTTTAGTTATTTTAAATAAATTTATTTCGTTTTTACTGTGAAATTCAAATATTATATGTTGTTAGTTTTATTAAATTATATGGATCTATTAAATTATATTTCTATAATTTTTAAGTCTAGAATGAATTGGATACAGATTGAATAAGTAAAAAACTTTACAATTCTACTTTGGATCTCAAAAAGTATTGATTAATAAATAAAAGATATGATCAATCTTCAAATTAAAATTGCTCTCAATGCAATAAATAAGATAAGTAAACTTCTAGTTTTTTTTGTATTATGTGATTTTATTTTTTTACTAATTATGCTCTTCATTGTTATTATTATTCCCTAGTTTCTCTGGATATAACAAGTATATAAAGTAAGGCTTTCTTGTATTTTCTGGGGCCCAAGTCAGTTGTCAGTGTCTTGTCATTCTGTAGCTTAAATATCTTTCTTTATCATTATCATACAGCTTTATTTCATCATAGTATTAACCTGTAACCAATTATTGGAAGCCTTCTCTGAGCAGATTCATTCAAATGACTATTTAAATAACTCCCAATTTGATTCAATATAAGTTTGAGTCTCTTCATATAGATCTTTGTCAATATTAATATTGTAATTATCAGAGGGGTTATTAATACCATAATTTTCAACAATATTAATATTATAATTATTGGGAGAGTTATTGATATTATGATCTTCAGCAATTTGAGAAATGACTTGTGCCTCTGATACAATATTATTATTTTCAAGGCCCTTTAAAACAAGAAATGGTAGCACTGTATGACATTCAAATTCATTTTTAATTAAATGTCTTTTTTTTCCATCAGGAGTATTTATTACTTGCTTTACCAAATGTTTGTATAACAAAAACTGATTTTTAAAAAATGCAAGATAGCTACAAATTTAACAAATAATCCCAGTGAAATATAGACTGCTTGTGTTTGTTGTTTCTATATTAATATTTCGTTTTCTTTTACCTGAAGATAGATATAGTTTAGCTTGGTTAGTTTGGTTTAAAAAATTATGTTTAAAATATTAAACCAACTTAACTAATTTCAAACTATAGAAAACTAATAGTTTAAGCTATAGTTTTTTATATTACAGTTAATATCAATCTATTTGGATTATCTTTTATTCATATTAATAGTGATATAGTGAGAGGTTATACAGTCAAACCTTTATAAATACAATCTTTATAAATGCAATACCTCTCTAAATATATGTTTCTGGCCTGGCTATAAGAAATCATTAGTGCTAAATGCATGTTCTATATTCTACAAATACACATTTACTCAAAAAATTTTTTATATCAAATTAACCTTCTTAAATGCACATAGCCAATTAGAATTTAATATCCAAGTTGTGTTATATAAGCTTGCAGATCAAGCATTAAAAGCTGCAATTTGATTGGCTTTCTCTAAATACAAACCTCTCTAAATACACAATTGAGACTGGTCTATATATATTGCATTTAGGAAGGTTTGACTGTATTTAATTTAATACATATAAGGAGATTTTAATATAATTTTAATATATAGAAATTTATTTTATAGTTTAGATTGAGATTGATATTAATGAGGCTTAACTATACTTTAATAGTTAAATTTGGTTTAAGTTCAAACTATGATTTGTTAGTTTAAACAAATCCATATTCATTTATATACCTATGATTATTAGGTTTATTACAAATTTTTGCCCATTTTTCATCATTTGCACTAGTATATATCCACTCTTTTTTTAAAGTTTACCCACTAGCATAGTTTCATAGTGTTAGCCAAAATCTGAGAGAACTGGTCTTTCTGATCTGAAACTACTTTAGTAAAGAGCATTTATACTAAGAAATTTAATCTTGGCTAGTTAAACTGATGCAAGTAATGTTTTTTAATTATACTCCAATAAGCCTTTATTTTTATAGTTGTTTTTATATAAGATATAGTTAGTTTGGTTGATCATACCCAAAGATACTATCTTTGTAATGAATACTATTTGGTCTATAAGTAGGCCCAAAGCAACTATAGTTCATTTTTAGCACAAAACTGATACATCTCTCTTACTATATTTTTTTTAATAGCCTCTAGAGTCATTGTATTTCCTCAAATATCAACTGGTATTAATAAGTGCATACTAAAGTGGTGTTTCATCATTTCTAAAATTGTTTTTTAGTATAATAGCGGGCAAACAATATATGAAGTGGAGTCAATAGAAAAGAGACAAATTTTTTTTAAATAAAAGTTTTCTTGACTTTAATCTTAAATATTTTAGCAAATATTTTATTAAATTTAATAATTATTTTTTTATTTTAATTTTTTATAATTTTAAAATTAAAATAAAAAAATTTTAAGCAAATTTGATTAATTAGTTGTTGAGATATTTTAATTTAAAAATTAAAAAAATTTCACTAAAAACAATTTGTCACTTTTTTATTGACTCTACCCATATGTTTGTGGATCCCAATCCAATTCTGATGTTAAGATTAATAAATTCAAACTCATTGACTACTTTATTGTAATTATAATTTATAGATATTGGTTTACTGTTTTTTGATAATCTTGGTTTTTTCTTTAACTTACACTTTATAGCTTTATTTACAAAGATATATATTATATAATTTAAAAAAAAAAGAAGTAAAATTAAGTTAAAATAATAAATATAAATAAACTAATCTATCTATTTATTAATTTAGATATCTGTTTATATGCTATTCATATAATTGAACTACCAAAGTACCCCACATGTTAGATATTGTATTTATTTCAAATAGTATATTCACTTGTACAAATATTTTGAAATATCAAATTCTTGGTGATATAAGTAGTTTGTCAACTTAATTGTAATAAGATATGCATATTTTCTAATTTCTTCTAATAAACCATTTGATATTTTAGTACAGAAATTTGGGTATAGATAAAGATAATTATAGCGAATATCAATTTTACAATACTAAGAACTGTATCTACTTGTATTGTAACTTTGCTTTTACAATCAAGGCATGCACACTATTTACAATTTGAATTTTTATATTCTTCACTCTGTGCTTCTTTAGATTGGCAGCACAAATATGTAACTTTATCAACTGTTTTGCTAAATTTTTTTTGATATATCTACTTCTTGATATCTATGATAATATACAAAAGAAAAAAAATATAAAAATATAAAAATAAAAAAATAAAAAAAAAGCTTATATTTATAAAAAATCATTACCTTTTTTGATTTCTGTAATAACAAGGTTAGCAATTTCTTTTGCTATCATATTTTGAATATCTATATTTATATTTATTAACAAATGTATTTGGTAAGTTGTATTAGCTACCTCATCGATATTTTTTAGTTTCTGAATCTTATTTGTGACAAAATCTTCTACTTCATGATAGTTAATCTTAGAATGTATAGCATTACTTATATAATTTGTTTCTTGACTAATTGCTTCAGACTAATCAGCAGACCTGCTGCTATTAATTAAATTTATAGTTTTACTAAAATAAGTTATTTTATTTTTCTCTTTTTCTGGTATTCTTTGTATTTAATACAAGTTTTATATCAAACACTACTCAAAAGAATTAACTGACTAAGTGTTTGTATTTACAGCCACCACATTTTTCTTTAGGTTCTGAGTTCATTTTTCTGAAAAATATTACTTAAAATATATAGCAAGGCATACTGGCAAATATTTATATAAAAATAAAGCAACTCGATATAATATAAAAATTAAATAGTAATTGTAT